CTGCTGCAGCCACTGGTACTGCTGCTGTTGCTGCTGCTGCTGAATCAAAACTAGAACGTCTGCTGCGCTGGTCACTGACTCGCGGGTGCACTACTGGCTTCATATCGGATTCGTTTGGGCGTTGTGCTGCTGCTGTTGCTGCGGCTGCTGCTGCTGCTGCTGCTGCTGCAGTGGTCTCCGTGGTGGCTTCTTCTGCCTGCAGTGTCTCCCCAGGCAGCGCAAACATCTGCCTCTGCTTAACGAACCCGCAACGGCACCGACAGACGCAGCCAGGGCCCCCGCGTCTACTGCTGCTGCTGCTGCTGCTGCTGCTGGTGTTGCTGTTGCTGTCAGGCACGCCATCACGAACCGTTCTATCTGTTTGGGGTGCTGCAGCAGCAGCAGAAGCTGCTGCTGCTGCAGCTGAGTCGCTGCAGCCCCCGTTTGCTATTGCTGCTGCACGCTGCAGGCCCCCTGCAGCAGCTGAACGCTCTTCATCCTGCTGCTGCTGCTGCTGCTGCTGTTGCTGCTGCTGCTGCTGCGGCTGTATGCATACTGCCGTCGCTGTGAGCTTCGCCTTGACAGAGGGACTGTCAAAGGTGCGTGGGGGGAGCGCTGCTGCAGCTGCTGCTGCAGCTGCTGCAGCCGCTGCTGCAGCTGTATCCCTTTCCAGTGCAGCTTTTGCTGCTGCTGTTGCTTCCTTTGCTGCTGCTGGTTGCTTTGCTGTTGCTGCTGCTGCTGCTGCTGCTGCTGATCCACCGAAATTGTCTACATTCGGTTGATAAGACACAGTGCATGCAGCCCCGTGGGCCGCCACCTCTTGAATTCTGCGTTGGCTGCTGCTGCTGCTGCTACTGCTGCTGCTGCTGCTGTTGCTGTTGCTGCTGCTGCTGCTGTTGCTGCAGACCCTGCTCCTCAGTTGAGTACATCCGACGTCGCCTTTTGTTTCCTCCGCCTGCAGCTGCTGCAGTGTCTGAAGGAATTTATTGTGCTGTTGCTGCTGCTGCTGCTGCTGCTGCTGCAGTTGTTGCTGCAGTTGTTGCTGCAGCTGCTGCTGCAGCAGGGGTGATTGAGGCAAAGAGATCCCTAAAGCTTCTGATCTGTGGCTGCTGCTGTCATCCGCGTGTATGCCTGCTGCTTCTATTTCAGCTGCATGCATGCATGCGTTCCTTTTCTCCCTCTTGCTGCTGCTGCTGCTGCTGCAGCTGCAGATACACCGCAACCCCTTCACGTATCTATCGGCATTCAGCAGCTGCTGCCGCAGCAAATACCTCTCCTCCAGCTGCTGCAGCAGCAACGCCTGCTCACGCAAGCGCATGCAAATCTTCAATCGCAGCTCTGCAGTGCCGCAGCTCCTTTCCCACTTTCCTTTGCTGCTGCTGCTGCTGCTGCTGTTGTTGTTGTTGTTGTTGTTGATGGTGTTGCTGCTGCGGTGCTTGCTGTTGCTGCTGCTGCGGCTGCTGCTGCTGCACTGCCCTCTCTGCCCCGCTGGCGATAACAATTCAAACGAAGCATCAGCATCTGATGGCGTCTGTCTCAGTTGCTGCTGCTGCTGCTGCTGCTGCTGTTGTTGTTGCTGCTCCTGCTGTTGCTGCTGTTGCTGTTGCAACTGTTGTTGGGTTTGCTGATGCTGCGGTTGCTGCTGCTGCTGCTGCTGCTGCTGTTGCTGCTGCTGCTGCGTTTGTTCCGCTGCTGTTGGCAGCAGTTCTTTGGGGGTTTGCTCTGCCGCGTGTGCTGCTGCTGTGCAGCTGGGTGATGTGGGTGTAAACGCTGTTGCTGCTGAGGAGAAAGTTCGTTCAGCAGCAGCAGCAGCAGCAGCAGAAACGGAAACAGCAGCAGGAGCAACAGGGGCAGCAGCAGCAAGAGCATTCACCGCAGAGCCAGATACTTGTTGTAGCTCTTCCTGCGTTCTCTCATGCTGTAGAGAGAAGGTATGAACGACGTACTGCAGTTGCTGCTGCTGCTGCTGCTGCTGTTGCTGTTGCTGCTGCTGTTGCTCTGTAGAACTGCAGCCCGTTTCAGGAGCCAAAGGAACAGCAGCAGCAGCAACGCGGTGCTGCAGCAGAGCTTGTGACAGTTTGCTGCAGTCGGCAAAAGGGGAAAGAGGCGAATCGTGCGGCGTCGCAGCAGCAGCAGCAGCAGCAGCCACTGGTGCAGCAGCAGCAGCCACTGGTGCAGCAGCAGCAGCAGCAGCAGCAGCAGCAGCAGTAGCTACAGCACCACTTTCCCCCCAATAATTTGCAGCATTTGTCTTCAGTGGGTCGAGCACATCTATGCGCGGGGAAAGGCTACAATGCGTTACGCTCCTGCCGCTGCTGCTGCTGCTGCTGTTGCTGCTGTTGCTGCTGCTGCTGCTGCTGCTGCTCGCAGCAGCAGCAGCAACAGCAGCAGCATCTGCAGCCTTCGGGATCTCTTCTACATCTGACTCTGGTGCAGCAAACTCAGGCAGCCTCTGCTTACTGCTGCTGCTGTGTTCAAAAGGAGCAGCAGCGCGAGCAGCAGCAGCAGCAGCAGGTACAGAGATGCGAGCAGCAGCAGGCAGCGCAACAGAAGAAACCGCAGCAGCAGCAGCAGCAGCAGCAGCAGTTGCTTCTCTTCTGCTGCGACGGCCGCGACGCAGCAAAGCCCGTATCCTGGCGGTGCCCTTCTGCAGCAGCTCTAAGGAGGGGCTCCTGTGTCCTGTTTTCTTCCTCCTGCTGCTGCTTCTGCTTCTGCTGCTGCTGCTGCTGC